TTTTTTTTTTGCTAATTACGAAGTACTTATACCGTTTGTTTATTCAGTGCTTTTTTATTAATATTAAAGAATTATTTATTACACGCATTTTCAGAATGCTTCTCTCACTGCCAATTCGCTGTCAAATTACAAAACTTGACATAGAGAGGTTAGCAGAGGCACCACTGTGACCACGCTGGCAGGAGATTCATCTGTGAAAACTTGCATTTGTGGTCAGTGTGGCCTGTGCTAACCTCTCTATGGTGTTTAAATATACCTAGTTGGATGAATCCTTTTGTAACCAGTTCGCCCAGTGGCTTACTCGCTGGCCTGGAGTTTCATAACTCACTCGCCACGAGTTCAAACCCCGCCCGTGGTAAGGTTTGTTTACCTCAACCTTTTATGTCAAAGATGATGCTAGGTTTCAAGCCAGGCATGAGTTTTCTCTAAGTGATGTACAATGAAAGCTTACTTCATCTTAATTCATCACAAACACTGGTGAGTGAGAATGATGATGGTGCGAGACATGAGGGACAGCCGGGGTTAGGTACACTGTTTAATGATATCCTAGTTCAACTGTTTGGAGACTTTTTCAAGAATTCCAGGTGGTAAATCTCGGTGCTCAAGAGTCGGTTGAAAATATATTAACAAAGCTGCTATATGATAATACTACTCATGTGCAGTTAGTTTATGAAACAAACTTGGTCAGTAAAAGTAACTCTTTTCATACAACCAGTTCTTATATTCTTATGAGAAAAAAGATATGATATAGAAAACAAACAGATATGAGAAATGTATTTTGATTAAACAAATATCGCAGAATGATGGTGGCACACAACACTCCTGTGTGATGGTGGCAATGCTCAAATGCTTCGTTAGTCCAATTTATCATTAGACAATTCCTTCCTTGGCCGTGGGTCCACTGTATTACAATTTAAAGTATTTAATGACTTGGAAGGTGTATAAATCTGTAGTGGAGGGGAGAAGGGGTAGGGTTCATCCTAGGAAAGGATGGAGGGAGGGGGTAAAAGAGGTTTTGTGTGCAAGGGGCTTGGACATACAACAGGCATGTGTAAAAGTGTTAGATATGAGTGAATGGAGAGGAATAGTTTTTGGTACCTGATGAGCTGTTGGAGAGTAAGCACAGTAATAGTTTGTGAAGGGACTCAGAGAAACTGGTTAGCTGGACTTGACTCCTGGAGATGGGAAGTACAGTGCCTGCACTTTAAAGGAGGGGTTTTGGATATTGGCTGTTTGGAGTGACATCTAAACTGCCATATCTGGACTCCTCTGCAAAGACAGTGATTATATGTGAATGATGGTGAAAGTGTTCTTTTTATAGGTCACCCCGCCTCGGTGGGTCACCCCGCCTCGGTGGGAGACGGCCAATGTGTTAAAAGAAATCTATATTAATGTACAGTGCCCCAGAGCGATTATTATTATGTTTATTTCATCTTCAAGACTAGTGAGACACTCTTAGTAATTTTAATGCGTACGTGCATGCCAGCATAGTAAATTTATTTAGGTACAGATACATATTTAAGTACAATTATCAGAGTATATATAAAATACACCTAGGTAATAGGTTGGTAGACAGCAACCACCCAGGGAGGTACTATCATCTTGTGGTAGAAGGCTGGTAGACAGTAACCACCCATGAAGGTACTACCATCTTGTGGTAGAAGGTTGGTAGACAGCAACCACCCAGGGAGGTACTATCATCTTGTGGTAGAAGGTTGATAGACAGCAACCACCCAGGGATGTACTACCATCTTGTGGTAGTAGGTTGGTAGACAGCAACCACCAAGGGAGGTATTACCGTCCTGCCAAGCAAGTGTAAAACGAAAGCCTGTAATTATTTTACATGAAGGTAGGATTGCTGGTGTCCTTTTTTCTGTCTCATAAACATACAAGATTTCAGGTATGTCTTGCTACTTCTACTTACACTTAGGTCACACTACACATACATGTACAAGCATATATATACACACACCCCTCTGGGTTTTCTGCTATTTTCTTTCTAGTTCTTGTTTATTTCCTCTTATCTCCATGGGGAAGTGGAACAGAATTCTTCCTCCGTAAGCCATGCGTGTCGTAAGAGGCGACTAAAATGCTGGGAGCAAGGGGCTAGTAACCCCTTCTCCTGTATATATTACTAAATGTAAAACGAGAAACTTTCGTTTTTCCTTTTGTGCCACCCCGCCTCGGTGGGATATGGCCGGTTTGTTGAAAGAAAGAAAAGAAAGAAGGTAGGATTGTTGTTGTTTTTTTTTTTGTCTTATAAACATGCAAGATTTCAGGAACATTTTGTTACTTGTACTTCAACTTGGGTCACTCTACCCATGCTCTGTACAAGCATGTATATACACACCCTTTTGGATTTTCTTCTATTTTCTTACTAGTTCTTGTTGTTTATTTCCTCTTATCTCCATGGAGAAGTAGAACAGACTTCTTCCTCCATCAGCCATGCATGTCATAAGAGGCGAGTAAAATGCCAGAGGCAAAGGGCTAGTAACCCCATTTCTTGTATAGATTACTAAATTTAGAAAGAGAAACTTTTCTTTTTGGGCCACCCTGCCTCGGTGGGATATGGCCACCCTGCCTCGGTGGGATATGGCCAGTTTGTTGAAAAAAAATAACATACACAATAACTTAAACACTTGAAATTTTGAAAAGTTTCCAGATATAATTGAAAGATGCAGAGCTCGCGAAGGATGTAAATAAACAGAGTGGCATGCAGATGCCAAATTAGGGAATCAGGGAGTCGTATAAAGAAATTTTTGGTTGTAATTGAAAGATCCACATCAGAAAATTGCCATAAAATGAAACCCTCCTGTATATTGTATTAACCCATAAACAGTCCAAACGTATATATACGTTCTCTCATGCAATGCCCCAAATATTTTGAAAAATAAAACAGTCATTTTTTTTAATGAAAATAAAGAGCACATTTTTCCAAGTGTTATAGGATAAAAAAAAATTAGGGTGAGTACTTACAGAGATATGAGGCTGAGAAGTTGGCACTGGATGCTGACGTGACGGCAACATCAACATCAAGTCCTGCAGCTTGCAAAAGTGTTGCCGATATACCTTTTTTACTATTTTTTCATATTATTTTACATAATTTTTATGTTCTGATAATTACAATTTATAGAAGTTCTTGTCATTTCATAACCAATCTTTGTTCTGACACTAGTATTAGGTACTGAAATAAAAAAGGCACAATACCGTGACTGGAACGATACACAAATAACCCGCATATAAAAGAGAGAAGCTCACGACGACGTTTCGGTCCGACTTGGACCATTTACAGTCACACTAACCAGAAGTGGAGCAGGACGGCTATATATAGGCAGGAAGAGGTGGTGGTGGTGGTGGTGGTGGTGGTGGTGGTAGTAGTAGTAGTAGTAGTACAAGAATGGTATATAATACCGACAAGATGAAATTAAGACAAGATGAAATTATAGCCGTCCTGCTCCACTTCTGGTTAGTGTGACTTTGTAAATGGTCCAAGTCGGACCGAAATGTCGTCGTGAGCTTCTCTCTTTTATGTGTATTAGGTACTGAAATTTTACTCAAATTGTCACAAACACACTGACAGGTGGACATTTACACCTGCCTTGGTCATTTACTATTGTCTTGGAATATAAACAAAGTATTTATAGGTCCCAGCAATGTTTTGGATATGTGGAAGTATATAATAATAATGACGAGGAGGAGGAGGAGTAGGAAGAGGAAGAGGAGGAAGAGGAAGAGGGAGAAGAGGAGGAAGAGGGAGAAGAGGAGGAGGAGGGAGAAGAGAAGGAGGAAGAGGGAGAAGAGGAGGAGGAGGGAAAAGAGGGGAGGAGAGGAGAGGAGGAGGAGGAGAGGAGGAGGAGGAGGAGGAGGAGAGGAGAGAGAGAGGAGGAGGGAGGAGGAGGAGGAGGAGGAGGAGGAGGAGGAGGAGGAGGAGGAGGAGGAGGAGGAGGAGGAGGAGGAGGAGGAGGAGGAGGAGGAGGAGGAGGAGGAGGAGGAGGAGGAGGAGGAGGAGGAGGAGGAGGAGGAAGGAGGAGGAGGGAGGAGGAGGAGGAGGAGGAGGAGGAGGAGGAGGAGGAGGAGGAGGAGGAGGAGAGGGAGGAGGAGGAGAGGAGGAGGAGGAGGAGGAGGAGGAGGAGGGAGGGAGGAGGAGGAGGAGGAGAGGAGGAGGAGGGAGAGGAGGAGGAGGGAGAGGAGGAGGAGGGAGAGAGGAGGAGGAGGGAGAGGGGAGGAGGGAGAGGAGGAGGAGGAGGAGGAGAGGAGGAGAGGAGAGGGAGAGGAGGAGGAGGAGGGAGAGGAGGAGGAGGAGGGAGAGGAGGAGGAGGAGGGAGAGGAGGAGGAGGAGGAGAGGAGGAGGAGGGGAGAGGAGGAGGGAGGAGGAGGAGGAGGAGGGGGAGAGAGGAGGAGGGAGGGAGAGGAGGAGGAGGAGGAGAGGAGGAGGAGGAGGAGGAGGGAGAGGAGAGGAGGAGGAGGGAGAGGAGGAGGAGGAGGGAGAGGAGGAGGAGGAGGGAGAGGAGGAGGAGGAGGCGAGAGGGAGGAGAGGAGGGAGGAGGAGGAGGATGGAGAGGGAGGAGGAGGGACGAGGAGGAGGAGGAGGGAGAGAGGGGAGGAGGGAGAGGAGGAGGAGGAGGGAGAGGAGGAGCGAGGAACCGGGTTCTGATGTTCTTTATTCGTGTTCGTTATTTCTGATCTCGTGGGGAGAGTGGAAGAGGAGTTGTCTGGTAGCATGGTGTGTAAGAGGCGATAGAAATCGGGAGAATGCGAAACCCTCTGGGCTCTAATTTACTAATTTAAAAGTAAATTGTTCTTGTTTAGTCCCCCGCTAGGGGAAGTGGAACAGAGTAGAGGGATGTAAGAGGCGCTAAATAGTCCTGAAGCAAAAGGCAAAGTAACCCTCTGCGTGTACTAAATTGACTAAATTTAATAAGAGCGAGTATAGCTTTCGTTTCTGATAGAAATTGCCACTGCCACATCTTGGATCGCCGGTTTGTTTTGGAGACAGAATAATACGTAATAATAAGTTCCCTTGAAGCATGAAAAGCAAAGTCCACCCCTGACAGTGACATAAGATTAGATAACATTTGATAAGAGCTGACGTTTGATGAGCATACGCGAGTGTGCAGTGATAAGAAAAGATTAGAGGTGACATTTGAAGAGCATCGCCCTGGCTTTGTTTTCGCTGGTACACAAACATGTCTGTCTGTCTACTTGTCTGTCTGTCAAGCTCCCTGTCTATCTGTCTATCCATCTAGCTCTTTGTCTCAGAGAGAGCCACAAGACTGCGCCATCACCTTTACTCACATCTTCAAGCAGAGTATAGCACTTTGTCTGGATTTTTTGGGTTATCCTAGGTAATTTACACTATGTACACATGTATTTGTGTACCTGTGAGACAGAGATAGACAGAGCCAGATAGACAGAGACAGATAGACATAGAGATAGAGACAGTGATTGAGACAGACAAAGATAGACACAGATAGAGAGATACAGAGGTAGACAGACCCTAAACTTGGGGTTAACATCACTTTCCTCTTAAAAGAGGAGTGCTAATATGACATTACATCAGTGAATCCTTGGTGTTTGTCGCACTGTTTGCTCCAGCTGGCGCTCAATTTAACTGGCGCTCCCACAAGGTACTAAGTGGTCCCAGAATTTTTTAATATAGTGTACACCAAGCATTAAGACCCATTCTATGCTGACCAGGCATCTCAGGGCAATCATGCCAAATTTGGAGGTAGGAAAATTAAAACGTATATCCAGCACGTAATGAAAGTAGTTTGTTAGATTATGTATTGGTGGATAAAAGGTTGATGGGTAGGCTCCAGGATGTACATGTTTATAGAGGGGCAACTGATATATCGGATCATTATTTAGTTGTAGCTACAGTTAGAGTAAGAGGTAGATGGGAAAAGATGAAAATGGCAACAACAAGCAAGAGGGAGGTGAAAGTGTATAAACTAAGGGAGGAGGAAGTTCGGGTGAGATATAAGCAACTATTGGCAGAAAGGTGGGCTGGTGCAAGTATGAGTAGTGGTGGGGAGGGGGGGGGGGTTGAAGAGGGTTGGAATAGTTTTAAAAATGCAGTATTAGAATGTGGGGCAGAAGTTTGTGGTTATATGAGGGTGGGTGCAGGAGGAAAGACGAGTGATTGGTGGAATGATGAAGTAAAGAGTGTGATAAAAGAGAAAAAGTTAGCTTATGAGATGTTTTTACAAAGCAGAAGTGTTATAAGAAGAGTAGAGTATATGGAGAGTAAAAGAAAGGTGAAGAGAGTGGTGAGAGAGTGCCAAAGGAGAGTAGATGATAGAGTGGGAGAGGCACTGTCAAGAAATTTTAATGAAAATAAAAATTTTGGAGTTAAACAAGTTAAGAAAGCCTAGAGAACGAATGGATTTGTCAGTTAAAAACAGAGTAGGGGAGTTGGTAGATGGGGAGATGGAGGTTTTGGGTAGATGGCGAGAATATTTTGAGGAACTTTTAAATGTCAATGAAGAAAGGGAAGCGTTAATTTCATGCACTGGCCAGGGTGGTATACCATCTTTTAGGAGTGAAGAAGAACAGGATGTGAGTGTGGGAGAGGTGCATGAGGCATTACGTAGAATGAAAGGGGGTAAAGTAGCTGGGGTGTTATGCAGGATTCTACATGACACTGTAATGTATATACAGTAGAGAAGGGTGTCATAATAGTATGAATGTTATAGTTGTAAAGCATAATTTTATAATTCATAATGTGCTTTTGGGGGTACTGTAAAGTAGGTTAAACTATAATCATAAAGAAATCCTGCTAGGGATTTATTTTCCAACTGTGTTTGGGTACGTGGGGTAAGTGTGGCTTGGGGCAGTCACGTGGAGTCAGCATGGTGTGGAGGCTGGTGTCGGAGATGCTGTGTATTTAAGCTAAGTTTGCAGTTGTGTACTCCTTTTGTTTAGCTAACCCAAGCCATAGGCTCTTCTATGGCTTACCTGTATGCCCACCTGGGCTCTGACATGGTCAGGGTGCAGTGGGATGAGTGAAGAAATAAGAAATGGGGTTGGTATTGGAGTAGAGTCGGCCTGGTGCTGACTAGGGCGAGTGTTATGGTTAGTGGACTGCCAACCAGCTATTTCTTGTGAACCGTCATTTGGGCGTTTTAGGATAAAGGTGTTTCTAGAGTGTGTATATAGTGTTATGTTGAATAAATAGATATATTTTCCTAGCTAGGAATTTTGCCTAACCCTCTGTTAACCAACCCATTGAAGTAACAAATACTGGTTTAGCAATTTCTGTTTTGACTGGGATAGCCCTGGGTGGCCTGTTTATGTTTGAGATGTGTGTAACTTTTACCTTTGCCCTTAGACAAGGCTTAAGCCCCCAGTTATCCTACTTTTCTGCATAACAGGGGGGGTATAGTGTTGGAGTGGTTGGTATTTTTGTTTAATAAATGTATGAAAGAGGGGAAGGTACCTAGGGACTGGCAGAGAGCATGTATAGTCCCTTTATATAAAGGGAAGGGGGACAAAAGAGATTGTAAAAATTATAGAGGAATAAACTTACTGAGTATACTAGGAAAAGTGTACAGTAGGGTTATAATTGAAAGAATTAGAGGTAAGACAGAATGTAGGATTGTGGATGAGCAAGGAGGTTTCAGAGTGGGTAGGGGATGCGTAGATCAAGTGTTTACATTGAAGCATATATGTGAACAGTATTTAGATAAAGATAGGGAAGTTTTCATTGCATTTATGGATTTAGAAAAGGCATTTGATAGAGTGGATAGAGTAGCAATGTGGCAAATGTTGCAAGTATAAGGAATAGGTGGTAAGTTACTAAATGCTGTAAAGAGTTTTTATGAGGATAGTGAGTGTCAGGTTAGGGTGTGTAGAAGAGAGGGAGACTACTTCCCGGTAAAAGTAGGTCTTAGACAGGGATGTGTAATGTCACCATGGTTGTTTAATATATTTATAGATGGGGTTGTAAAAGAAGTAAATGCTAGGGTGTTCGGGAGAGGGGTGGGATTAAATTATGGGGAACAAAATACAAAATGGGAATTGACACAGTTGCTTTTTGCTGATGATACTGTGCTTATGGGAGATTCTAAAGAAAAATTGCAAAGGTTAGTGGATGAGTTTGGGAGTGTGTGTAAAGGTAGAAAGTTGAAAGTGAACATAGAAAAGATTAAGGTGATGAGGGTATCAAATGATTTAGATAAAGAAAAATTGGATATCAAATTGGGGAGGAGGAGTATGGAAGAAGTGAATGTTTTCAGATACAGTGGTCCCTCATTTATCATCGTTAATCCGTTCATGGAAGTGCGTCGATTATCGAAAAAGACGATTTTCGAATCAATTTTCCCAATAGGAAATAATGTATATACAATTAATCCGTTCCTGACACCCAGAAGTATTAAAACAAAAAAATTTTTTTACATGAAATATAGATGTAGTACATAAACAATACAATGGGACATGATGAATGAAACATTAACAGCATAACACTTACCTTTATTGGCGATTCTTCTTAGAGTATGGAAGACTGGAGGAGGAGAGACATTGGATTAGTTACTGTTTGGGAGGGGAATCCCCTTCCATCAACACCTCAGGTACCAAGTGCTTTTCTGGGGTTACTTCTCTTCTGTTTCTTAATGCCACTAGGACCAGCTTCAGAGTCACTGGAGTCCTGTCTCACAAAAAAAGTGTCCAGAAAGCTCTGTTTCTGGCATGTCTTTCAGCTTGTACAGTGACAGAGTCTTGGACCTTTCAAACTTCCCTAAAATGGTCCAAGACTCTGTCACTGTACAAGTTGCTGATATGGCTTGCAACATCCTTCTCAGGGTGATGTTTCTCCATAAATCTTTCCATCCTACCCCACATTTCAAAAATCTCCTTAATTTCTGAAGAAGGCACCTTCTTCCATCTCTCATCCTCCTCTTCCTCTGCAGCAAGATTCTGAGCTGCGATCTGTTCCTGTTCCTGCTGAAGCTCTTGCAGCTCCTCAGCTGGCCAGTTCGGCCACACGTATGCCACTTTCATATTGTTCAATGACGTTTTTCTTAAATTCAATCATATTTCTCACTTTCTTTACCAAAGGCTTGGCACTAGGAGCTTTCTTTGGAGCCATGGTAGCTTATTTAGCACTTGCATACACTAAAATGAATGGAATATTATGAAATATTTCATATGAACAAGTGAGGGGACCGTCGTTCACTGGTAAACAATGGCACACTGGCTGGAAAGGGAGGCCGAGGCAGCTCAGAGCGTGAGTACGCGTCCCGGATGAAGGACGATTAGCAAGCAAACCGACCATTTGCGAGCCAATGTTTGGATGAGAATAACGTGACGATTTCCGAAAAGGACGACTATCAAGCCGGACGATTAAGGGACCACTGTACTTGGGAGTTGACGTGTCGGCGGATAGATTTATAAAGGATGATGTTAATCATAGAATTGATTAGGGAAAAAAGGTGAGTGGTGCGTTGAGGTATATGTGGAGACAAAAAGCATTATCTATGGAGGCAAAGAAGGGAATGTATGAAAGTATAGTAGTACCAACACTCTTATATGGGTGTGAAGCTTGGGTTGTGAATGCAGCAGCGAGGAGGCGGTTGGAGGCAGTGGAGATGTCCTGTCTAAGGGAAATGTGTGGTGTAAATATTATGCAGAAAATTTGGAGTGTGGAAATTAGGAGAAGGTGTGAAGTTAATAAAAGTATTAGTCAGAGGGCTGAAGAGGGGTTGTTGAGGGTGGTTTGGTCATTTAGAGAGAATGGATCAAAGTAGAATGACATGGAGAGCGTATAAATCTGTAGGGGAAGGAAGGCGAGGTGGGGGTCGTCCTCGAAAAGGTTGGAAGGAAGGGGTAAGGGAGGTTTTTGTGGGCGAGGGGCTTGGACTTCCAGCAGGCGTGCATGAGCATGTTCGATAGGAGTGAATGGAGATGAATGGTATTTGGGACCTGACGATCTGTTGGAGTGTGAGCAGGGTAATATTTAGTGAAGAGATTCAGGGAAACCGGTTATTTTCATATAGTCGGACTTGAGTCCTGGAAATGGGAAGTACAATGCCTGCACTTTAAAGGAAGGGTTTGGGATATTGGCAGTTTGGAGGGGTATGTTGTGTATCTTTATATGTGTATGCTTCTAGACTGTTGTATTCTGAGCACCTCTGCAAAAACACTGATAATGTGCGAGTGTGGTGAAAGTGTTGAATGATGATGAAAGTATTTTCTTTTTGGGGATTTTCTTTCTTTTTTGGGTCACCCTGCCTCGGTGGGAGACGGCCGACTTGTTGAAAAAAAAAAAAAAAAAAAAATTCAGGGAAACCGGTTATTTTTATATAGCCGGACTTGAGTCATGGAAATGGGAAGTACAATGCCTGCACTCTAAAGGAAGGGTTCGGGATATTAGCAGTTTACCTGGAGTTTACCTCGAGAGAGTTCCGGGGGTCAACGCCCCCGCGGCCTGGTCTGTGACCAGGCCCAGGAGGGATATGTTGTGTATCTTTATACGTATATGCTTCTAAACTGTTGTGTTCTGAGCACCTCTGCAAAAACAGTGATTATGTGTGAGTGAGGTGAAAGTGTTGAATGATGATGAAAATATTTTCTTTTTGGGGATTTTCTTTCTTTTTGGGTCACCCTGCCTCGGTGGAAGACGGCCGACTTGTTAAAAAAAAAAAAAAAAAATTACGTTTGGGGCGCTACATGTAAGAATGTATATATACGTTTGGACTGTTTAGGGGTTAAGAAAACTGTCATAATTTTATAAAAATAAACATGTATCTTGAAATCTTTCCTAGATAGTAGGTTGGTCAATAGCAACCACCCAGGGAGGTACTACCATCCTGCAAAGTGAATGTAAAACAAAAGCCTATAATTGTTTTACATGATGGTAGGATTCCTAGTGTCCTTTTTCTGTCTTACAAATATGAAGATTTCAGGTATGTCTTACTACTTCAACTTACACTTAGGTCACACTACACATGCATGTACATACATATATATACAAACCCCTCTGGGTTTTCTTCTATTGTCTTACTAGTTCTTATTCTTGTTTATTTCTTCTTATCTTCATGGGGAAGTGGAATAGAATTCTTCCTCCATAAGCCATGTGTGTCATAAGAGACAACTAAAATGCTGGGAGCAAGGGGCTAGTAACCCCATCTCCTGTATACATTACTAAAGTTAAAAAGAGAAACTTTTGTTTTTCTTTTTGGGCCACCCCACCTCGGTGGAATACGGTAGAATACTCGTTTTGGAAACCACTGGATTTTAATGTCTTTGGCCAGTAAAAAGTCTGATTGACTCCAGGAGTGATAATGGAGTTCTTGAAGGAGTAGTTTGAATAACTCTAAATAGTAGCTGCTCAGAGATGGTGACACTATCTTGAGTTGCATCACTGTCGCCATCATAAAGTTGTGAGATAACATTGTGTGCTGCTTCTTGATATATGGCTGTTATCTGAAACATACGTTAATGTTCATTATTCTAAGAAAGAAAATTCTGTCTTTTATTGATTGTACAAAAAGATGCAATAACTTGTGGGTTATTCAAAGTAGAAGTCACAATAACATGGTTTAAAAAATCATAACTAATGTAAATACTGTAGGATTAAATCCATCCTGGTCTACTAGAATACATTTGCGTCCATCCTAGTTCATTAGAATATATTTGGGTCCATCCTGGTCCCAAACAAATTCTAAGCAACTGTCGCCAATTTATGGGTTACTGCAACATGGAAGCTTAATACTGAGAGCACATCCTTGTATGAACTTGTGAATTATTTCATTTGTTTTAAATACATACAAGCATGCTATGTATACCCAGGCAATAACTGTAGGTTGGTAGACAGCAACTGCCCAGGCATGTACAAACCACACATACATGTACAAGCATATATATACACACCCCTTTGGGTTTCTTCTATTTTCTTACTAGTTCTTGTTCTTGTTTATTTCCTCTTATCTCCATTGGAAAGTGGAACAGAATTCTTCCTCCATAACCATGCATGTCGTAAGAGGTGACTAGGATGCAAGGGGCTAGTAACCTTTTCTCCTGTAAATATTACTAAATTTAAAAAGATAAACTTTTGATTTTCTTTTTGGGCCACCCTGTCTCAGTGGGATACACAGCCAGTTTATTAAAAAAAAAAATTACGAAATGTAAAAGGAGAAACTTTTATTTTCCTTTTGGGTCACCCCACCTCGGTGGGATATGGCTGGTGTGTTGAAAGAAGAAAGACCTTAAGTTTGGTTAGAAAAAATAAAAACACAATACCATAACTAGAACAATACAATGCACAAATAATATGCACAAAGAAGAATGAAACTTATGATAATGTTTTGGTTCAATTTGCACCATTAACTAGTCACACACAAGTGCGAAGGGAAGGGAGCCAGAATATATATGACAGGGGGGCAGGGCCGGGAATAGCATAACAAGAGGGAATAGTATTATGTGGTGGTCGTGGGAGCAGTGGTGGCAGTAGCAGTACAAGTAGTAGTGGTGGGTATTCAGTAACTAGGAACTGATTGTTAAGAACCAATATAAAATAAGGAGGGGAGACTGGTCATTCCATAACAGAATTTACCTCTGGGAATGTTCAGTGAAAATTAATAAGAACAAAAATATTGTATTAATTACCTCAGCTCCTGAATATCCAAGTGTTGCTTCACTCAGCTTCTCCACATCCACTTGGCCCTGTAGTGGTACATCTTCCAGCAGACCCTTCCATATCTCACATCGAGAGTTAAAATCTGGCAAGTCAATATGTATTACATGTTCCAGACAACCAGGTTGCAGGACAGCCTGAAGAAAAATAAAATATTTTGTAATATTAAGTAAACCATGGAAGAGGTGGGATTTGAACCCATGGCAAGCAAGTCGTAAAACTCCAGGCCAGTGTGTAAACCACTCGGCCAGCTGGCTACAATGAGGTTCATCTAACTAGGTGTATTTCTATACACCATCAGTTTCGTGGTCTATTTGCAATTGTGTCATTACAATTTAATAAGTTATCTTGTAATATCATTATTGATGAAAATTAGACACATGTGCAACATCTGGATATCTTTATCAATAAAGATACCCAGATGTTACACATGTCTAATTTTCGTCTTGTTAGTATTGTTTACCATTCATGTACAATACCATTATTATAGGTATGGTTAAACATACAGGGGTCATACAGAGCTCAAGGAATAAGAGGCTAAAGCTCCCGCTTCACACACACGGAGGGCCCGGGTTCGATTCCCGGCGGGTGGAAACATTCGACACGTTTCCTTACACCTGTTGTCCTGTTCACTTAGCAGCAAATAGGTACCTGGGTGTTAGTCGACTGGTGTGGGTCGCATCCTGGGGGACAAGATTAAGGACCCCAATGGAAATAAGTTAGACAGTCCTCGATGACTCGCTGACTTTCTTGGGTTATCCTGGGTGGCTAACCCTCCAGGGTTAAAAATCCGAACGAAATCTTATCTTATCTTATCTTAATAAGGTTTGATCCAGAGAGTAGGAAGGAAGAGTATTCCTCGAGTTAAGAATCTTTGACAAACACCAAGGCTCACTCTAAAAGGGAAGTGCTCGACATAGAAAACTTTTCCATTATATATGGAAAACCAACACATTTTCCTGGAGTAATGAAGAGTCGACAAACCATACCACGGGAGGGATTTGAACCCGCGGGTTCAAATCCCGCCCGTGGTATGGTTTGTTTGCAATCGTGTCATTACGATTTCGTGAGTCAAGAATCAATAATATCCATCATCTCTGTTAGGTTCAAGTTTGAAAATTTCATTATCATTATGATCAAACTTTATGAAAGTGAAACAATAGTGTCATGCGTGTTGCAAGAAGTGACTAAAATGCCAGAAGCCAGGGGCTACTAACCCCTTCTCCTGTATAAGGTACTACTAAATTTAAAAAGAAAAACTTATTATTTTCTTTTTAGGTCACCCTAACTCAGTGGGATATGGCCAGTGTGTTGAAAAAAAAAATCAAGAGTGACCAAATATCACTGACCAAACTTGCCTTTAAATCCAGCCCATCATGACCTACTAATGTAAAACTGAGCTTTCTGTTTTTTTAAACTTAACCCTCTGTTTTCCATCAAGGTAAAGTGACCCAGTAAAGATAACACATTCACCATCATTCACTTGATAGCTGTTGTACTAGATTTTCACCAACATCACAGTTAAAATGACCCTCTCAAGCACATTACCAAACATCTTTCAGTGTACAGGCACTGTGCTTAACACCTCCAAAACCACAACATTCCATAGGCCTCCAGGAGCATGACAAAGTTGATGTATTAGCTCAACAACCATTAAATAACAAAAATGTTGAGTAAAATTTTTTGTCAAACAGTTTACAAAAATACTGTCAGAAAGAAACTAGCAAAAGAGATGGAAGTAGAACAGTACTGATAAGAATTAGCAGATCCATTATCCACCATAATGATATGTGTCAAGTTAAACATAACTAGGGAGAAAGTGACAAGATCAGTAATTGTAAGATGCTGTTACTACTAGACACTGGCTTGGCTATTAGTATCTGTGGCAGTATGGTTTGTATGGCGATGTCAGTGACAAAATGCAAAGTGTGTGGACAGAGACAGGGCCATACAATGAAGCATTTTATCTTAGAGTGAACAAACATCCAATATTTCAGAGACACCTTCATGCACACCTTACAAGATACGGCAAAACACTTCATTGTTAATGATAAGATATCTGAAATCTTCAGGTTGTAACCACATTTTGCATCAACTAGATGAACAAACTGTCTTTATAGAAACTGCAACTCAGTTATGACCAATGTTTTTGTGGTAATAAGACAAAATCTTTTGAGATTCTATTCCTTACTATACTGTGTACAAGAGCTAGATGCAGTAATTATAAAATATAAAGACTAATATTTCTTTCTAGTGGTGTAACAATGGTCAGTGGGATCTGACAAAGACCCATTGTTACCTCTGTAATGGTGTTTGTTGCACTGATGCTCACAGGATGAGCTGTGGGTAGTGCACCATAAAGTATCCACCCAAGCAATACAACTACTAACCATCAGCAAGCTACTGCATCACTACAACAAGGTCCTAGATGCACTAGAAGACAAAAAGAATGCAGATGTAATATATACAGACTTTGCAAAAGCTTTCGACAAGTGTGACCATGGCATAATGGCGCACAAAATGTGTGCTAAAGGAATAACAGGAAAAGTTGGTAGATGGATCTACAATTTCCTCACAAATAGAACACAAAGAGTAGTAGTCAACAGAGTAAAGTCTGAGGCAGCTACGGTGAAAAGCTCTGTTCCACAAGGCATAGTACTCGCTCCCATCTTGTTTCTCATCCTCATATCTGACAGACAAGGATGTCAGCCACAGCACCGTGTCTTCCTTTGCAGATGACACCCAAATCTGCATGACAGTGTCTTCCATTGCAGAAACTGCAAGGCTCCAGGCGGACATCAACCAAATCTTTCAGTGGGCTGCAGAAAACATATGAAGTTCAACGATGAGAAATTTCAATTACTCCGATATGGTAAACATGAGGAAATTAAAACTTCATCAGAGTACAAAACAAATTCCTTCCACAAAATAGAGTGAAAAACCAATGTCAAAGACCTGGGAGTGATCATGTCGGAGGATCTCACCTTCAAGGACCATAACATTGTATCAATCGCATCTGCTAGAAAAATGACATGATGGATAATGAGAATCTTCAAAACTAGGGATGCCAAGCCCATGATGACACTACTTCAGGTCACTTGTTCTGTGTAGGCTGGAATATTGCTTCACACTAACAGCACCTTTCAAGGCAGGTGAAATTGCTGACCTAGAAAATGTACAGAGAACCTTCACGGCGCGCATAACGGAGATAAAACACCTCAATTACTGGGAGCGCTTGAAGTTCCTGAACCTGTACTCCCTGGAACACAGGCGGGAGAGATACATGATTATATACACCTGGAAAATCCTAGAGGGACTAGTACCGAACTTGCACACGAAAATCACTCACAATGAAAGCAAAAGATTCAGCAAACGATGTAACATCCCCCTTATGAAAAGCAAGGGTGTCACTAGCATGTTAAGAGACAATACAATAAGTGTCAGGGGCCCGAGACTGTTCAACTGCCTCCCAGCATACATAGACCCCTGGCTGTCTTCAAGCAGGCACTGGACAAGTACCTAAAGTCGGTAACTGACCAGCCGAGCTGTGGCTCGTACGTTGGATTGTGTGCAGCCAGCAGTAACAGCCTGGTTGATCAGGCTCTGATCCACCAGGAAGCCTGGTCACAGACCGGGCCATGGGGGCGTTGACCCCTGGAACTCTCTCCAGGTAAACTTCAGAAGTGTGCTGACGTCACAATCACCTCTCTGACTGCAACATCTTCACCCCTCCTGTAGAGTTAACAGCAGAGGTATACATGAGAGTCAGTTACACTGTGCATAATTTAAATGCCATAAGCGTGATGGAGCAACATATTCACAAGTACCTCGAGTTACAGGAGAGTTACAAGATGCAAGAAGATACACCTCCAAAACCAAAATATCCCCACCCAATCTTCTTCAGAGTGCAAGAACAATACTTCTCACCTCTAGTCACACTATCCTCACCCATTCTTCAGAACACATGTACTGCACTTCCCACCTCTGGAATCACAATACCCCCACCCATTCTTCAGAACACATGTACTGCACTTCCCACCTCTGGAATCACAATACCCCCACCCATTCTTCAGAACACATGTACTGCACTTCCCACCTCTGGAATCACAATACCCCCACCCATTCTTCAGAACACATGTACTGCACTTCCCACCTCTGGAATCACAATACCCCCACCCATTCTTCAGAACACATGTACTGCACTTCCCACCTCTGGACTCACAACCCCCCTCCCCCATCCTTCAGAGAAGCAGTTAGTACTGTATTTTCCAGAATTCAAGTCCACCCTAATAATTCTCTGGCAATGACTCCACAAAAACAAAAAACACAGCCATGCTGAATACACACTCCACTACAGGTCCTCCATCACAAATCCGGCATCATTGGGACCTGTAGTGTGCCGGATTACTAAGTTTGCCGAATTACAGAGTGGTTAAGTTAGAATACACTTAATAAAATTAACCAACTTGTCTTACACAGTTCACTGAACATCAGCAAAAATCGAACATTTCCGCTACTTTGAGCTCAATTTCAATGTACTTTTCGTCATGAAAGCAATCAAAATCATGTCTATTTCTGTAATACAGTGGACCCCCGCATAACGATATTAATCCGTTCCTGAGAGCTCATTGTTATGCGAAATTATCGTTATGCGAATGAATTTTCCCCATAAGAAATAATGGAAATCAAATTAATCCAGGCAAGACACCCCAAAGTATGAATGTTATGCAGGGTTCTGCATGACATCGTAATGTACATATAGTGGAGAAGTGTGCCATAATAGTATGAATGTTATAATTGTAGAGAATAATTTTATAATTCATAATGTGCATTTGAGGGCACTGTAAAGTACTCTAACTGTAATTATAAAGAAATCTTGCTAGGGATTTATTTTCCAAGGGTGTTTGGGTATGCGGGGTAAGCGTGGCTTGGGGCAGTCACGTGGAGTCAGCATGGTGTGGAGGCTGGCGTCAGAGATGCTGTGTTTAAGCTAAGTTTGTAGTTGTGTACTCCTTTTGTTTAACCAACTCAAGCCATAGGCTCTTCTATGGCTTACCTGTATGTTCACCTAGGCTCTGACATGGTCAGGGTGCTGTGGGATGAGTGAGGAAATAAGAAATGGGGTTTGTAGTGGAGT